ACAGATGTTTTGACTCCTCATGCTTTGTTTCTTGTATGAGAGAGAGAGACCGCAATCAAGTTCTTGTCATTTTTAGATCAGTGTTTTGTTAAGTTATGACAGCTATCCATGACAGAGAGCCAAGTAACTTTTGCAGCTGACCACGTAACTGAGTCTGACTGTGATGCTTAGTCATTTTATTTGGTCCGGGACTGTGTGTGTGTGTATTCTTTTCTTTCTTTCTTTTTAAAAATATAATTAGAACATTGCTTGGAGCCCTGCCACTAACTCTCCAACAGATTACTTTCTTTGGTTATGCCTTAAAAAACTTCTCATCTGTTTGTGGCTATTAACTCTTCCTGATTGGCTGTACTCTGTAGAACCAGTTAAGCCAATTTGGAAGTATTTTCTCATGTGTGTTTCTCTGATTTTGTCTGTCACTTTTATAATTCTCTGGTCCTCTTGAGTGGGGCTATTTTCAGGATTGCTCCTAACAATATATTTTCTACTGCTTTGTCTATTATGCTTTTACATGACCCAAGCAATGGGGCTTTATTGCTCCCATAGTGAGACTATGCTACAATCTAATTGAACTGACCATCAGGATAGTTTCCCTCAATCTCTGCCTAATTTTGTCATAGAATCACAGATGTTACAAATGGAAAAATATCTATTAGCTCCTCTAGGGCCTGATCCAAATTCCACTGAAGTCAAAAGAAAGATTCAGTGGGGGCTGGCTCAAGCCCCTAGTCCAACGCTGGGCCAGGGCAGGATTTTTCCCTACTGTATATTTTCATGTGGTTTGGACGCTCATTTTAAATCTGACTCTTTTTCAAGTAGCCCTTGTATCACGTCTGTGGGTCTCGGCTAGTTCTACAACTCCCAACAACAGACCTGCTATTACCTGATCCAGGTTGTAACAGATGACATTCACTCACTGCTTATATCAGTGGTTTTCAACCTTTTTTCATTTACGGACCCCTAAAAAAATGTCAAATGGAGGTGCGGACCCCTTTGGAAATCTTAGACATAGTCTGTGGACCCCCAGGGGTCCGCGGGCCACAGGTTGAAAACCACTGGCTTATCTCGTGGATGGTATTTGCTACTTGAAGTATTTTAGGGAATATCAATCTATTTCCTTCAAAAATCTTAGCACTGGAGGGATCTTTCAGGACATCATGAGAATGTCTCCCCAAAAAGCTGTGATATAATTGCTAAAATGAGTTCAGGGCCTAGCTCAATGCAAAGTGCACTGATGTTTCATTTCTTTCTGACCTTCAGTGGCAAGTAACAATTGCGCTCATCCCTGTGCCACTGAGCCCATCATTTGTAGCACCTGGCAGCCTTCGTATCATTTATTATGTACTTACACAACTACTGCGGTGATAGGGAGCAGTGGGAGTTTTAAGTACTCGTAACTGGCTACCAAATTACGATAACTATGATTAATGGATCCTTTTTATGTGTGAACTTGAAACCACTGTATATCCCTATTTGGAGTCACTAAATAGATTTTATGAGATGAGGTTGGATTGGCATTATCAGCATGTTGCAGTTAATTTGTGGGGGGAAGAGAGCCCTTGTTCCATTGTTGCTTGTATGTGGCCATTAGTATTTTCAACTTGCATTGAAATATCATCTGAGAAAGGTAAGAGAGAGGTTCCAGCTAATGAGATACTGCTACCCACCTAGTGTAACCTCCTTTGGTAAAACAATAAGGGATAATTGTGCTTATCTGCGCTTTTCATGTCTGGAGCTCCTTTCTACTAATCATCATTTCGTGTTGCACATGTGTTTGTTTTACGCATTTTTTTTAATGTCAGGTTTGGAGGAAAACTGCTGCAGCTTGTGCAGTGGTTAGACTGCATGACTGGGAGTCAGAACATGACCTCTGTGCCCAGGATTTTATAAAAGTGCCTATCCCCACAGTATCTTAGTACCTGTGTTCTGTCCTCAAATCTACCACTTTTCCTCTTTTACTGCATGACCTTGGGAGGGGGAGTTTCTGTGCCCAATTTACACATCTGTTGCATGGGTAAAATAGTGCCCACTTCACACAGAGCACTGAGTTTTAATGAGAATTTCAAAAGTACTTTGAGAGCATCCACGTGAAATGTGCTATTCAGGTACCACATCTTATTATTAATCATACATGGTGACTTTCATTCCCCACCTTCTGTCGTGCCCCAGTAGGTGTTTTGCCTGTGTAAGGACTGCAGGATTTAGCCTCTCTCTCCAAGATATTGATTATTTTCCTCTTTATTTTGATAACCATTGTTCCCACACTGGGGGCTTCTGGATTTTTGTTTGAAATAATCATATTTCCTTACTTCGGTAGCTGCTAGTTGTCACTGAAGTGTAACAGCTGTACCCTTTTTGACTTACAGGCTGTTCTGATGTATTGTAATTAAAGATAAATAACACATTCCCTCTCTCCCCCTCCTCAGCCCCCATATGCCATCCTCTCCCTTTCCCTGCTCTTGGACTGACTGGTGGTTAATGTAAGTCATGGCACAAAGGGGCATGACAAAAGCGCAGCGTTCTGTTTTGACATCATCTGTTTTGGAGTGATATCCTGAGAGAATTAGCTCAACTTCCACTTTATAGTTACTAATTGAATTATTTTATTATACTGCATGTTTTAGTAGCAGCAGGTTAGGGATTGCCTTGATGCTGAAATGTAGTCTGGACTTCCCTCTGAACACTTGTACCTTTGAGCCTTCTGGTGAGTCAGCTCAAAGCCATGTGGCTGAACAGTGCAGCTCAAGAAGTCGGCATTCTTCTGTTGTTCTTTTCTACCCTCCGATGACCATTTTTCCTCTCTTACACTTCATCTAATGTGGCTGAACCTCAAAATGCCAGATTCTTTGCAAGATGGACAGCTTCATATTATCTGTAGACTTGTTAAGTCAAACCCTGATAACAACCCATACCCAGTGTGTGCTTTGTAGATGGCACGGCGGAATATTCCATGACTTTAAGACTGAATCAAATCATGTTGGTAGAATGTGGTTCTGAATGTAACTGCCCCCAACTTTAAGAGCTGCATTTACTACATAAAGAAGAGCTGTTAAGCCAGTGGTCTTTGCGCTCTCAGCTCTGTTTCTCTAAGAGGTTTATACATGATTCAGGAAAAATCATGTTTTAATCTAAAAAAGAATTTTAAAAATCCCATCATATACCCAAATATCAGAAGACAGTGGAAGTTTTTGATACTTTAGGCTGACAGTGACTTTTTTTTAAAATGGCTTCTGTCCTAAATAGATTTGGACTATATCATTATGGTCTAGGGAAGTTGAGGGTAAATTGTTTCTTGAGAAAACCATTGACTTGCATTATAGATATGAGATCCATTGCAGGGGGAAACAAAGTAAACTCATTACTGACTCTCTTTCTGAATACTCTCACATTGTGTTGGAAATGAGTGATGGACTAACTTAAGAAGGGTAAGTAGTTTGGTTCAGTTATACACCTGAAAAGCTTGGGTGATTATTTGAAGCATCTCCAAACTAACTGAATCTGATGTGGCTGGAAATGTCACAAACACTTTCTCGCTTGTGCTAGGCTGGCCCTGCTGTTTCTAGTTGGATTGGAAATACCACAAGAACAGTTTGTCTTGCATTGTTTTGGCAGTAATGCATCCAATTGCAGCCAGAACCCAGAAGTGCAGAGGTGAGCCAAGATGGAAGACACTGGGGAGGGATAGGGAGTTAACACAATATTACATAAAGCTTTGGGGTGTTCAAAGCAGAAGTGTGGTTTGAGGTTCATTTCTAAATTTTAAGAAAAGCCTTCTCAAATACAAGATACATGAGTTTAAATCTTTGGTTGAACCCAGGATCAAATTTATGAATCACCTCTCCATTTGTTTTTGGTTTTTTTCTTTCCTGCTTTCTTCTACAATATGATGAATTATCAGGCTACATATAATCATTCTAGGGTCCCAGATTGCCTGGTGATCTAATGTTGTTTTTTAGTTTTGTTGAAATCTGACAGTCATCAAGAAAGGAACATATATCAACAGAGTGGTAAATTTTCCTTCAGAAGAAAGCTCAAAAGGATTTTTTCAACCAGAGTCACTTATAATTTGACACGATACCATTTTGTTAGCTTTGCAAAAGGAAAACTGTCTACATTTTGAAAATATGGTATTGTTTTCCAGAAAGATTTATTCTTACACAGATTATTGCCAAGAAAATAGAATATTAATGCAGAACATACCTCAGTACAAACAGCAGATAGATGGAAAATGGAACTCCTTTGCATTGGTAGATTTAAGCAATTCAAAAAGAGGAAGGGATGTATTGAATAGGATGTTGGAATTATTTGCCTTGGGATATAGTGCTGGCAGTATCTTTAGACATTGTAGTCTGACCAATTTCTTTAATTTGCAGCATATACTGTCTTGCTGCAATCCAGGGACCCCATTTCTTCCATGTCATAGATAGTTGTGACAGGGATGGGGCAGACATTCTAGATGAGAACACCAACCACTGCCCAAAACTCAGATTGAGTCGACACTGAATCTTTCCTGGGACATGAAAAAGTTTAATCTTAGTATTTGCTTCCATAGATTGCTTCCAAAAATACTAATAAAAACAATTAAGAGAAATGTTGCAGGTCTCTGCATTTTGAGTTTAGGCTGGGAGGAGAAATGGAGCTGCAGATATACTGCAAGAAAGCCTGCACCTTCTCGATTTCCAAACCAGTTTTGACGACTCAGGAGTGTAGAGAGGTCCAATATGCGTCGTGCATCCAAAGTTTTGGGTGCTTAACTGAACCAAACTTTACAGCCTTACAAGGTTCACTCATCACTACCTAATCAGCCAAATTTTAAAATGGAATAGTAGACTCTTAAATCAAATCCATCCCTGAAAAAACGTGTGTGTGTGTGTTTTTAAAGCCTTTTCCCAATAAACTCTTCAGGTTTGTTATTCCCCTTCCCTCCCAATTCTTCTAAATTACCTATGAACTTTGCAATTGGATTTCCTGATCCAAGTCCAGTCATCTTCCCCATACAGGACAAAACAACACTGGAGAGCCTGACTCAACAGCTGGCAGTAAAACAGAATGAAGATGGGAAATTTAGCCATGCTATGATGGATTTCAACATGAGTGGGGATTCTGACGGTCAGTAGGAATTACCTGTCCTTATTTCTAGTTATGTATGTGCAGAAGAACACAAACTCCTTTTGGGGGGATAGGAGTGAAGGGCTGGGATAAGTGAGGAATGGCCACTAACCAAGGCAGGAGAAATTATTCATATTGTGGTGTTTTAGGTCCAGGGGCAATTTTATCATTCTGTGTCATGCACCCCATTTGTCAAGGCTGGACCAAGAACACATTTATGAGTGTAAAAATGAAGAAAAGGAAATAAAGAGATGTTGAATAACTGAGATCACACAGATTATAGATCTGATCATCTATAGATGATGCATATGCTAGGTCTGTGGGAGCTTGTTTGGATGTGATGAAGCAAGCTTAATGCTTTTTTCTATCTCTGCTATTGCTTTTGTTATTGTGGAGGTGTAAGCACAAGCAAAGGCAGCTGTGCAAACGTTCATTTGCTAGTTAAAGACTTGCTTAAAAAAGCCCCACCTAATGTTGCCATATATTAACACCCTTCTCATTACAAAGGAGGCAGGAAACAGGTAATGTAATACATTCAACATATTGTAAATTAGAAAACAAACAAACAAACAAACCTCCATTCATAAAAGTTGGGTTTTTTAGATTATTAAGCAGTAAAAGAACGTTAAAAGAGCTTTACATTTTTTGTCTGCAAAAATGAATGTGGCTCTTCATCAGATCAGATTTATACCATATCCTACTATATTTGACCAATATAGTTATAAACTAGACACAAGAAAAAAGAATATGATACACTTGAAGGATTCAAGGAGAAGAGAAAGCATGGTGAATGCAGTTTGAACATATGTTTATTGAATGTGCCCTATGTGATGAAGGTTACTGAAAGCACAAATTAGGTATGATTTTCTCCCCTCTTTTTAGGAAGTGCAGGTGTCTCAGAATCTAGAATTTATCGGGAATCCAGAGGGCGTGGAAGTAATGAACCCCATATCAAGCGTCCAATGAATGCCTTCATGGTGTGGGCTAAAGATGAGCGAAGGAAGATCCTTCAAGCCTTCCCTGACATGCACAACTCCAACATTAGCAAGATACTGGGTAAGGAAATTAATAGAGCACTGTATTTTCTGTAGCAGAACTCCTTGGTTTTGACTGAATATTTTAGAGATTTTAGGGCCTGACTGATAGTTCATAGACCCTCTGCTTATCCACGTTATAGTTTTGGCAAGGACAACAGCAATACAAGGTTCACCATGCTGCCCAACAGTATGCATCAGCCATGATCTGGAGAGCCCGTTCAGCTTGCCAGTTGTGGTGGTGTTTTTGGCATGAAGACACTGGCCTATCAGGAACTAGACAAAGAACTCCAGCTCATTCCCACGAGCCACTGAATAATTATAAGATGACTTTTTGTTACATTTTTTGGTGACAGCTTTTGTTTACTGACTCTTATTTATCTAATTTGTTTATAAGGCTGCCCACCACAGTATCTGATTCATAACCTAGTGTGCTGTGTTCAAATGAATGATCTAAAGATGAAAGGTCCTGTATTCTAAAATATGTCTCTTTTAAAAAAAAAACTGGTAGTATGATATTTCAGTCATATTACGTCTCTCTAATGCATGATCCATACACCAAGGATATTCTGAGAAAATTCACTTAATCAGAGAAGAAACATCAGAACTTATGTGTATATCCCCATCCACTCTCCGTATCCCACACAATACATATTTGCCACGGATATCTGCTAGTAAATCCCATGCACCAGTCTTCAGACCTTTCTATACTTACTTAAACACTTAGGCCAAATTCTGCCCTACATTAGAACCTTGGGACACTTTGAAGAGTAGAAAGAGAATAACTGAGGACTGAATTTGGCTCATAGGGCTAGATTCACCAAGGAACATAGGCATGAGGAGGCTGAGCGTTGCCATGCCTAACTTTTAGGTGCCTAGAAAATCACTGGAATCCTCAAAGCCTGAGTAGGCACCTAGGCTCTCTATTCAGTGAATGGAGAGAGATGGGCGCCGTAGAATGAGATTCACAAAAGTCAGCAGGGTCAGGCCGTGGCTCTGCAGCTGCGCAGAGCATTGCGCCGGCGGCGGGGTGAGCTGAGGCTGCGGGGAGGGGGAGCAGCAGGGGAGGAGCCAGGGGCTGGCTAGCCTCCCCGGCCAGGAGCTCAGGAGCCGGGCTGGAGGTTACTGCGGGCCATAGTTTGCCCACCTCTGTTCTAATCACTGGATAGCCTGGGGTTGGGTTTCCTCAATCTCTCCTCTTGAAGCTGTTCCATTGTGGCTACATAATAAAAGAATCATTGTTCTAGAGAGAGAGAACAAACATGAGCATGCAGGAGAATAACTCTGTCGCCTTGTGCTTAAAGTACTTACCTGGGAGGTGGGAGACTCAGGATCCAGTCCCCCTGCTCCAGTGAGTCTTTAAAATTACTTATCCACAGTGCAACAGCTAAACCTGAGGGAGCCTCACATCAGAATACCCCACAGCCCAGTGGTTAGGACATTCACCTCAGAGGTAGCAACCGCCAGCTCAGTTCCCTTCTACCTCTCAGGTGGAGGGGAGACTTGAACTGGACGTCTCCCATGTCTCAGGTGAGTGCCTAACAACTAGGCTATAGGCAAGGTCCTCCCTTTCTTGCCATTTTATGTAAACTTGCCTATAGGTGCTCAATCTGGTAAGCAAGGTCTGAGGCCGCTTATCAAACCAGGCCTGCAGCTGACTTAGGCAGAGGAATGCCTATCTTCCCCCAGTTCCTGAATCACTCAAGGGCATAGGCATCCTGCCTGTCATGGGACTGCAGTACACATGCTCAGAGGCAGAAACACAGGCACCTACGCAACTTATACAGGAAAAATCACTGAGCGATTTTAGGCGCCTACAGGTTTGGTGACAGCTGAGCAGGGGTTTTGTGAATTCAAGTGGGGCCTGATTCTGGGATTTAGGTGCCTAAGTCCTGTTGTGGATCAAGCTCTCAGAGGCCAATGAATTACCCTCATTTGTTTCTAAAATAAATTATCGGTGAGTAAATCTAAGATGTTACACTTTTCTATCGATACAGTGTTGTGCTATTATACATTTTATATATGAGGCAAGAGGGGTGGGGGGCTAAAAGTGTGAGCATGAAAATATTTGCCTGAGTAAGGTCTGGCTGGTTTTTGGAATGGCATGAGAAATTTAATTGGATATAATGACAATGTTAAAAAGGCTTGACTAGTTAGAGGGGTGACTATGCTGAGGTTAGACTGGTCAGAGGTATTAGAAGATAAGGTTAGATTGGTTAGAGTGATATTATGATAAGGTAGCAGCAGGGTGGAATTAAAGACGAGATTAAATTAATTTAAGAGGCAGCACATATTGGTTCTGATACGACATTATCCCTTGATTAAAAGGGTGGCGTGAGCTGATTAGATTAGTTAGAGGAACAGGACAAGAAGGCTAAATTGGTGGTAAGATAAATGTATACTGGTTAAAAGGGATTAGACTGGTTACAGGTGTGTGATGTGATTAGACTAGGGTCCAGAGGCAGTAACAGTTTTGGTCTGTCTATAAATTTAGAGTAGGCCTGATTAAACCTGCCTTTTAATCAGCTTCAAAAATCTACAAAGATCATTCTGAATGGCCTTTTTCATATCGAAAGTACAAAGAGAGCTTGATGTTTTCCCTCTTAACTGATTGTTTTGGATAACAACTTCCGACAGCACGCTGCTAATTCATTCTGCTTAAAACAGGCGCTTGAGCTAGGTTGACATTTTACACAGTCTCTGGGGATTCTGGTTGACATTTTAAAGGGCTTCTAAGCATTTTATAATACCCTAAAATCTGGTTTTAATAAGCCATTCTGCTGAAATTGTTAACATAAGGAATCACCTTTTACTGTTTGGCGCTAGATCAGGGGGATATGGGGACATCTTTTTCTGATTAGATATACAGTAGTTGGAGTAAAATGTGCAAATTCATTACAGATCCTGTAGAGGTGACAGACAACATAGCTGACTCCAAACTCTATACTGTGTTGCTGCCAGATAGAGGAAGAAACTATGTTTGAAGACAGTAAGAGATGTGGTTTCTTTTCCTTTCCAGCATCACATTTAATTTTTTTTTTAACCTTCCTCCTCTGCAATAGAGAGGGATGCCCTGATATCCTTTTTCTTGACAGAAATGTTACAAAGGTCTTTCCTCAATTGCAAAAGGCCAGTCTTTTGAAGTCAGCAGGGAGCTCTCTGGTGAAGGGTGAGCAACTAGAAACCTACAGATCAACCAGGTGTTTGGGTCTCTTTGTGAAAAGCCACAATTATTATATATGTTTTAAGCAGTGCGGCTACACAGTGGGGTCACAGAGCAGCACTGTCGCTGAGAGCGGCTTAGATGGGGTTGCCACTGAGCCGGGGTCATTTTTATAGTGAAATGAGAGGAGTGCCCTTCGCTGCACTAGAATTCTCTAGGGATTATGTTTGACACTATGGTATTATGTTTTAAGCATAAAAATTAGATACACAGATTTGTCACTAAATTCATCTGTGCATACGTTTGTCATCCATCTGTTCATTGCAACTTGAAGTTGTGGAGATTAGGTTTTTTATTAAATTGTTAAGAAATCTGTTAAAAAAAACTGGTCTGCTGGATCCCCTTAAATTTTAATAATTTATTCCTTAGATATGCTTTAAAATATATATAAATTAATTTTAGAAATAGATCTACAATATACATACGGAGATTTATAAAAGGTAACATAGGAAGTTACCTCCCAAATCTCTACTCCACTAATGCAGGTGTCTATATCAGTGGTTTTCAACCTGGTGTCTGCAGACTATTTCTAAGGTTTCCAAAGGGGTCAACACCTTCATTTGAAATGTTTTAGGGGTCTGCAAATGAAAAAAGGTTGAAAACCATGGGTCTATATCAATCCAAAAAAAAAAAAAATCAGCCTGAGGCAGACACCCAGCATCTAAAATTTCAGCCTGGATGTTTAAAGTTTTGCAGAGTTATAAGCAACTGAAAACAGCATCTTAACTCTATGTGGTATTACCAACTCTACCTGTACTATATATGTATGTTTGTATGGATGTACACTCTGAGCCTGGGGGGAGGCTTAGCTCATGGGGGAAGGGGTAGCTCAGTGGTTTGAGCATTGGCCTGCTAAACCCAGGGTTGTGAGTTCAATCCTTGAAGGGGGCATTTAGGGAACTGGGGTAAAAATCTGTCTGGGGATTGGTCCTCCTTTGAGCAGGGGGTTGGACTAGATGACCTCCTGAGGTCCCTTCCAACCCTGATATTCAGTGATCTGTGCATGCAGATCTTTGCAGATGACCACTGATGTCATCAGGGTGCCATGTGGGTGCAGCAATGTGTGTGCACAGATCCCAAAGCAGGATTGGAGCTATATGCAGTGTTGACAATTCTTGCAATTTTATCATGAGTCTCATGATATCTAGAAATTTTTCTTAGAGCCCTAGCTACCATGTTCATGAGATTGTGAGAAGCGTAGCTATCATTTTTTAAAAAAAAGTAATTTCTGCTCTTCATGGTTATAGAGAAAAACTTCAGGTTTCAGAGTAGCAGCTGTGTTAGTCTGTATCCGCAAAAAGAACAGGAGTACTTGTGGCACCTTAGAGACTAACAGATTTATTAGAGCATAAGCTTTCGTGGGCTACCGCCCACTTCTTCGGATGCATATAAAGTGAAACATATATTGAGGAGATATATATACACACATACAGAGAGCATACAGAGAAAAACTTGACAATGTGACCCAGGCACACACTAAAGGCACAAAAACCAGAAGTCACATAAAAAACACCCAAAATGTAATGAGATTTTTTTAAAAATCTCATGATTTTTGATTTTTTGCTTGGGATTGGCAGTAATGTGTGTGGGTATTTATATACACATATAAAATAAAATTAGCCTTGCAAAACTTATCATGAAAATATTCTGCCCAAGCAAAAAATGTACTTACCTAACTTTATTGTGTTGATTGATGACAGTAGCCTTGATCATGCTATGTGCCCTGTGCAGGCAGACCCCTGAATCTGCACATACTCCCATTGACTTCATCAGGTCTTACACGGGCATAAAGATCTGGGTCTCATTCTTTATCTATGTATATTTGACAGACACACTCTAGAATATGAACAATTCATACTGAGACCCGCGGCAGCATGCCAAATTTTGCATATTAGTAAGTAAGCAAATGAAAACGATAAACAGAAAATCAAGGATACTTCATCACAAAATCTGCTTTTTATTTATTTTGACAAGCATAGTTGAGTTTTAATTATTTATGATACTTCAAAATACACTAGTAAATGATCTTTAGTATATTTTGTAAAAACAATAAAGTCACAGTAATAGGAGGTATCACTGCAGGAGGCAGCTATTAAATATTTGCTAGGAAGAGAGGTGAGGCTGCCAGGATTTTTGCGCTATTGAGATTGTAGCTTGCAAGGGGGAAAATAATGAATGACATTTATGTATAAATATTACAAATTGAGATATAGATGAAAATGTCAGTACCTATGGCCTTGGGCCTACAAAAATGTATGCATGTGCTTAACTTTATGCACGGAGGTCTGCCTTCCCAGATCCGATTGGAGAATTGGGGCTACTGGCATCAGTCAACACAGTTAAAGATGGTTTAAGTAAATTTTGTGTGTGGACAGAACATTTTCATCAGAATTTTACAAGGCTGATTTTATTGGATATATTCATTTAAATACATACACAGCACTATAGCGCCAATCCTGCATTGTCAGAGAATTCAGTGTGTGCAGCTAAGCACATGCATAAGTCTTTGCAGGATGAAGGCTTACGTTCATTATTCTGTTATGTTTTTCTATGATCCATTTATTCCCAAAACTAACAGTGGTAACTTTGGGGTATTCAGAATATTAATTTAGTTTGTGATATATACCGCATATATTACGTATCTGCTTGTATATTTACATATTTATTGTTTTTGTAAATACAAGATACTTAATGGGAGGGGGGGAGAACTTATATATAACTATTAGTCATTTCATATGTAGAGCATTAGGAGTCAGATATAAGTGCAAATGATCACCAATAATTACATGTGGCAGTGCCAAGCTGTAGGTGAGATTTGTACATATCCTTCCTAACAAATGTTTTTTGATCTTTGACCTCTTCAGTTCTTTGTCCATATGCACATTTACCACTAAACTCACGTGCACATGCTTTCACTTCACTCATCAGAGAGTCTGAAATAGCCTGTGGTGCCTTCTCTTCTTGATATTTAACATACTTTAAAAAAAAAGTCTTTTAGGTTTTCAGCTTTATTATTTATTAATGAAAACTGTTTGTCAGCATAAACTATTATTTTTAAACCAGTAGGTGCTAAAATGGTGTTTATGGCCTACGGGTTCTAGATTCACTTAGCGTTACTTTGTGACTTCCTCAGACTTTAGAGAAGCCAGTATACTGAAGAAGGGATAAATCCTGAAAATGGATCCACATCTTCGCACCCTAGAAACCTATTTGCAGGATCTGGCCCTAACTCTCAAATGTGTAACACCAACAATTTTAGGCCCCAACTACATTACCACACAGGCTTCCCCTGGGTCAGCTGCATGGGTGGACCAGGTTCTGGCAGTTCCCAGCTGTTTATCACTCTGTCAGCTAACCTGATCAGGATTTGGTAGTCAGTGGGAAAGAAGTAGCTATTGAATGTCAGTGTCAGTTTTTACAGTCAGTTTCCTGGCTATAACCACTAGGAAATGGCTTTTCTCTTCAGGAGACCACCAAGCTGCTTTCCATGCTCTTTCATGCATTGGCAGTAAAGGGTACATGATTGACTCCACACTAATTGTACTAAGGGATGACTTTTCATTGCTCCGTTCAGAGTAGACATTTTTCCATAGGTCGATTACCATTAGATGTGAGGTAGGATCAGTATTCTCTACTCAGCCTATTAGTCTTTCATTACAGAAACCCATACTGGAGTTTGGAATGAAGCTTCAACAAAGCAGAGCACCGAGAAAACTGATATCAGCCAGTGGGCTCTGTCTTCCCAAGGGCACTTTCCTGAAAGAATCAGACTGTTTTCTTCATAAGGAAGAGAGAACTGTGCTTTTTTATATTGAAAAGACAGTTTTGGGAGCACAGTGAGCTAAGAACACTATGAGTAATAGCATGAGCTAAGTACAGAATGAGTAACAAAAAAGGAAAGTACTGTAAGTCAAATATGACATTCTGAACCCATTATGTTGAGAAATTATGCAGACTTGTTTCCAGTAGGAAAATGGACTATTTTCCAACCAGTTTTTCCTTCTGGGGCATATATTTCACAGTTTGGGCCATCGATGTTGCCTGGAATGGATCTTGTCCTGAAGCAATCCTAAAGTTCATTGAATAATTTCCAAAGCATTTTTTATTCCGGGTATCTTGCTGCATTTTTTCAGGCATTAGCTATTTGTTTTTGTTTTTGTTTTTTTTAATTTTCACTTTATAAATTTCATGAGACATTTTTAAATAAAATACTCATTTTTCTACTATTCACCCAGCATATACACAGCAGCACAGAGCGAAAGTTAATGATCATCCCAGTGAAGCAGGAATATTTTAATTTATACAGTAGTTATCAAAATATTGTATATTAATGCTCTGTCTCCAACTGCTAATTTGTCACATGGGAACAAATCTTTTGCTCCTCTGGATTCTTTTTAATAATACCTTGTACCAGTGGTTCTCAACCCGGTGTATGTGTATCCCTGGGGGTACGTAGAGGTCTTCCAGGGGTACATCAACTGATCTAGCTATTTGCCTAGTTTTACAACAGACTATATAAAAAGCACCAGCGAAGTCAGTACAAACTAAAATTTCATACAATGACTTGTTTATACTGCTCTTTATACTATACACTGAACTGTAAGTAAAATATTTATATTCCAATTGATTTATTTTATAATGATATGGTGAAAATGAGAAAGTCAGCAATTTTTTAATGTGTGCTGTGACACTTTTGTATTTTTGTGTCTGACTGTGTAAGCAAGTAGTTTTTAAGCAAGGTGTAACTTGGGGGTACGGAAGATAAATCATTCTCCTGAAAGGGGAACAGTAGTCTGGAAAGGTTGAGAGCCACTGCCTTATACTTAAATAGGATCTTTCATCCCAAAGAACCAGACTCTAGCTTGGTACTTTATGGGATTATATGGGAACTACCCAGGCTTGAATGGGAGCAATCTAGGGCCCTAGTCACACCACAACATGAGGGTTCCTGTGCCACAGCCCCACATCATAACCCTGACCCCAAATGGTGTGCTGATGGCAGGGAACTTCCTTCCCAGATAGGGAAAGGCAAAGGCATGGCCCTTTCTTCTCACTCATCCCACTTCACCCCAGGAGTAGCAGCAGGTGTCTGTTCTGGCCCCAGAGAGGCAGAGATAGAAGCAGGGGAGCCCTCTCAAACCTATTTCTGTAATGGGTGAGCCAGGCCCACTGCATTCTTCACCTCCTGCTATATACAGAGTCCTTCCCACTGTAGAGGGTTTTGGAGTTAACACCTCACTGGGATGCACTGGACAATTCATATCTCTCAGAGCTATTGTTTCAGGCTCTCTGAAGACTCAGGCAGAATTCAGCACATTGGTTATGCTCAGTTCATGTTTTCAAGCTTTTTGTTATAACCATGAGAGCTAGAAAGATACTTGTTTTAAAAAAATGAAAGCTTAGACTTTGATGTAAGCCTGACCTTAGGAACCAAGGCCCCAGCATGCCTATATTTTAATCCAGCCCAGGGTGGAATGCAGCAGCTAGTTCGTAGCACACAGGAACATTAGAACATGAAGTGAAGATGAGTACCATGCTTAAATGAAACTACAGAGGAACACAGGCAGACTAGAATCTAAACAGGCGAATGGGACTTTGCCCAAGCCATTGAGATTCGCAACCTACTTTTACAAAGTGTCAGGTAGCTTTAATAATTACTGTGGTCAGGACCTTGGGGTTATGTCTCATCTATGTGTAGCAGCAGTGTCCATAAAATATTGACTCAAAAAGGAAAGAATGCCACGTACAAAGCTACCTGCATCACATGGGCATAACCTGGAAGTTTACCTGCCAAATAAAAACTAGCTGTGACCCTCCTTATCTAAAAGCGCTGTTTCACAGCCCAAAGCCACAGGACCGGGGGTATCTTGTTCTTAATGACCTGCTTATTTGTCCTTCTCTGAATGGGAAAGGGGAAGGGTTCTCATTTCTCATTCTTCTTGTGACAGGATCTCGCTGGAAAGCTATGACAAACCTAGAGAAGCAGCCATACTATGAGGAGCAGGCCCGACTCAGCAAGCAACATCTGGAGAAATACCCAGACTATAAATACAAGCCCAGGCCGAAGCGCACCTGTCTTGTGGATGGCAAAAAATTGCGGATCGGCGAGTACAAGGCAATCATGCGCAACAGGCGACAAGAGATGAGGCAGTATTTTAATGTTGGGTATGGGCCTGTCATATCTTTTATTTCAGTAGAAATTGTTTTTCTGGGGTTGTCCTTGTTTCAGAGCTGTAAATGTCATATTTTATTACGAGGTAAATAATGTGTTGCTAACTATGACGGAGGACTCTCACCTCTCGTGAGCGCCTCCTGTCGGCTGGGTGTGAACCTGCACTCGTTCTCTCAGCTCCCGGCGCCCCCTGTCAGCTGTTAACCTCATCAGGTGGGTTTTTAGTGGCCCAGCCCTCCAGCCAGGTCACACATTGTCAATATGTGAAGAAACAAACAAACCCCTTCCGGGGTATCAAAACTCCAGCAGGGCCTTTCACTATGCTCTGGTTGGTATCTGCAGCCCTGCCTTCGGGGCTCAGTTCTTGGCCCTTCTGGGCTAGCTTTAAGTCTGTCCAAAGCCTGGTATAGAGCAGTGCCCCCAGCACTTTCTCCCTGGAGACTCTGTTCTCAGTGGTTCTGTGGCATCCCAGCTGTCCAGCCAGGTTACTCCTTAATTCCAGTCCCCTTCTGGGGGAAATAAAGTTCAACATATGGTTGGCCTGCTTCAGGGTCTTCAGCCCATCACTGGGCCTATTTAAATCCCCAGCCCCTTTCTTAGGCTTTTAATGCAGAGTCTTATTCTCTCCTTGGGGCTTAGGCCGCTTCTCCGGTGGCCGGGGAATCTAGGCCCGCTGACTGCTCTGGGTCCCAACCCAGGGACCCTACAAATAGTAGCCATGTGCTGCTTCCTTTAACTCTGGTGCTGCTGCTATTCTCTGGGCCACTTCCCATGTAACCCCTTCCTCTTCACCCTTATCTCAGGGGTCTCTGTCTTTTCCCTGCTTAAGCACAGTCTCTCGCAGGCCTCTTTACCAATGGAGTTTTGTAGCCTTCCAGTCCTTCTTCCCCCTTCTGGTCCCAGCCAGCCACTGACCTGCTCAGCCCCTGCAGCTCCTTTTATCTGAGCCTGCTATGCTCTGATTGGCTGCTTCCCTGCAGCATTTCTAGGCAGGCCTGGAGGACCCTCATTCACTGCTCCTTTTCCTAGGGTGGGGTGTGGCAGGACTGCAAGACCTCCAGCAGGGGGCCTCAAAGGGCCTGATACACCCCATCACACTAACATAATATGAAGCTCATCTTTAAAGGCCATGTGGTCCATATAGCTGTGACCTGGAAGTCAGGAGATCTGTCCATGGCTCTGCTATTTAATTTTGGCCAACTGGGCTTCAGTTTCCGTATCTATAATATGGAGATAATGATACTTGCCCATCTTGACCACATCTTCGGATGAAATGCACCACATATGTGCTAAGTATTACTCATTATGGTGTTTTACAGAATCTATATGAGTTAATCTGTTAGTGTCTATAGCTCCCAAGGCCAGAAACACTAGCTCACATTCAAGGGGTTCAGCAAGCCGTCGGCTAAAACATTGCTCAGCAATGCTATTGAAGACCTGAATGCCCATGGCAGGTTGAGCCTTGCTAGTAAGGTCAGTGAGGATGTAGGCATAAAACATCCTCAACCAGTTCACACTAGTCACATGTGATGAGATTACTTCAGTCCAAGGGCATTAGCAGTGCCAGAGAGTCTTTTGCTCTGTGGTAAGCTGAATGCTAGTGAGGGGTTCAAATCTCAAGAGGATTGGTTCAGAGAAACATCCAAAAGTTTGTATGTTTGTCAAGACTTAGTTCTCTGCTTTTTCATCTAGAAACCTGCCTGGAAGGTTCTTTCTGCAACTACTGTTTGGTTTTGGCTACAGATAGGTGAGAAGTATTGCAAGGACAGACGTTCTTGTGATATTTCCACAGCTGGTCCAGGAAACACAGAGCTACACAAAAAAATTGTTTTTATTTAAAAAAAAAAAAAAAAAAGTCAACTAGCCTTAGAAAAATTGGAATCTGGGCTCTGTTTCCCTTTTGGGGTGAAAAAGGAATGCTGTTTTTTATTGTACCAGAACCGGGTCACCTGTCTCTAGTTAATGGGTATGAATAGCAGGAAAGGGGAAAATAGCTGCCCGGTTACCGTTAAGTGTCCTTAGACGGTGTTTTGAACAGCTACAGTGTACATTGTTATAATAAGCAGCTCAACAGAGAAATTTGAGCTGCTTAACCCTGTGGTGCTGGCAGGTTCAGTGATCCCACTAGTAAGCACTGAAACAAACATAGGGAAGTCAGCCAACATTCAGCATCAAGAGATTAGAAAAAAGAGGAGGGAGGGTCTTTCTGAGAAAGATAGGTGGCAACAGAGCCCCCCAAATACCGCTTATCTTGCTGACATGCATGGCTTTACAGTTTTTTTTAACTAATCTTGCAATGTTTTTAATATTATTATTTAACTTTCCAGATGAATCTGACAAGTACCCTATCTGAAAACAAGACATTTTGGAGATAGTTTGTCTAGAATTTAGAGCAGGGACTGGGAGAGGGTGGGGGTGAAATCTAGGTTCCACTGAAGTCAATGGTAAAACTCCCATTGACTTCAATCAGTATTTGATCCTGGAAGTCAGGTTCTGTTCCTGGCTTTGCCCCTGATTCACTGCAGGACCTGGTGCAAGTCATTAGGGCCAGATTTTTAAACAATTTAGGCACCAAAATAAATGGCCAGATTTTCAAGAGTTTTGAAAGTCTGTCTGTAAGTGTCACAATAGTTGGGACTGGGCTCTCTTGAAAATCTGACCCTTAATCTCTGTCAGCCTCGTCATCTCTAAAAGGGGACTAAAAATGCTTACCTTACAGGGCCATCACGAACCTTAATACATCAATGGCTATAAAGAGCTTTGAGATCCTCTGATGGAAGCAGAGCCGGCTGCAGCGTTTTTGCCGCCCTAAGCGGCCGGGGGCGGGAAGGTGTGATTGGCGGCACTTCAGCGGCAGCTCTACTGCCGCCGCTTCATTCTTCAGCAGCAATTCAGCAGCAGGTCCCGAGAGGGACTGAGGGACCTGCCACCGAAGAGCCGGAGGTGCCGCCGCTTCCCGTTGGCCGCCCCAAGCACCTGCTTGCTGCGCTGGTGCCTGGAGCCGGCCCTGGATGGAAGGCACTATAGGAGTGGCAGATATTATTCTTCAATTATGAAATGCAAGCAACATTACAGAAGAACTGTGAAACTCAACAAATGTTTTTGAGTGCAAAGTGTTCCTATTATTACATATTAAAAGCCATTTAAAAACACTGAATAAGGCTAGTTGCAGAAATGCTAACGCTAGGTCTTTCTGTTGAATTAAGAGTAAAAGCAAAATATGTTCTCCCTATTTACAGGCTAAGCCCTTAGTTGAGGCAACTATATTGTTTTGAAAATAAGAAGTGATGCTCGCAGGTTAGCAGGCTTCCCTAGGACAGCAACAAGCAAGTATATTAAAAATGTGGCAAATAATTCCAAATAAATGTTCAGTTGCTTGGGACTGCTTAGTCTTTCGGGATCGCTGTGCTGTGCAAGGCTTACTGGGCAGTCAGTGAACAGTCAGGCTCAGGAACAGGGGACGGTTTCATTCTTAATTAAAAATGTTCATCTCAAGAGATTTCACCCTGTCTCCTGTGGCAAGGCTTTTCAGTACAGATGGACACACCACTGATGACATTACAATATGCAGCATGTACTGAAGGGTATTACTGCAATGGAATTACTTCATGCAGCAAGGAAACAAAAGGAGCATGAATTTTAAACCTCTAGGCTTGTTAGGACCCTGGAGCTTCTCAGGGAAATAAACTCTGGTACAACACAGCTAGTGTTCTACATGAAAAAGGAATTTTGATGGCCTGAAATAATTCTGCTTTCATTATCTTGTACATGTTTCCAAGGCTTAAATGTCCTATAGAGGATTTTTATCAAACACTGATGTTGCTCTATTTATTTTAAAACAATGTATGTCTAAGTCTGGCTTTTCCTAGTTTTATCTGCCATCCCTGAGAGGATCTACTTTTCACCAATATCCCTCACTGTTCCAGGGAGTTGTCCATACCTATCAATGATCCCTCTTCTCCTCACCCACCTCTCTGTGGACATTGCATATGCCACCTCCAAGGTTACATGGAGGTCTTGGGGATCACCCAGACTCCCATGTGGGTCCCAGAAGGCCTTGTGCCCCTCCCTACAAGCCATCAGGTTTCTAAATAAACTCCACATTCCTAGCCTATGTCAGGCTTTCAAATGGAAGCCTGGTCCTTTTCCCCATGCCACGAACAGACTCCCTCAGGAACTCCCTCCACCCACCACCTCTCTCCTGACACCAAAACCTTGCTGTTTGTTTCTGGCCCTAGTTGCACTCTGCAACTTTTTTTTGCGGGGGGGGGGGGGGGTCTTTTTTAATCGTTGGACCATGGGTGGCAGGATGTTTGTCATTGGCTGTGTGCTCGTAGACATCCCATTCACCCAGTAAGGAACCTTGCGCCTTAGGCAAGCTCCAAAGTTCAGATACAGATCAAACGTGTCCAGAGTTTGGTGGTGTTTGAATCAGTGATTTGGTTCAGGCGCCTAACATTAGTCATAGGATCAAGTGTCAAAGCTTGGAAGATTATGGGTGGGAGGTGTCTGGTGTGGACCATCTAGGGACCCACTCCACCAAGCCCAATAATGACAGTCCTTGTGACTTTATAGCCTGTAATGCTATAGGAATAGGAACTCTCTTTGCTCCTGCTCGTATTTAAATGCCCTTTTATTTTTCAACAACAGGCAACAAGCACAGATTCCTATCGCCACCGCCGGTGTAGTCTACCCAGGAGCCATCGCGATGGCAGGAATGCCCTCCCCCCATCTGCCATCAGAGCACTCGAGTGTGTCCAGCAGCCCGGAGCCCGGGATGCCTGTCATCCAGAGCACTTACGGCATCAAAGGCGAGGAGCCGCACATCAAAGAGGAGATGCAGGCCAATGACATCAATGGAGAAATCTACGACGAGTACGATGAAGAAGAGGACGACCCTGATGTGGACTACGGCAGTGACAGTGAAAATCACATTGCAGGACAAGCCAACTGATAAGGGTCCAAATATTGTGTGACCTTACAGGACTTCAAGGAAAAAAAAAAAAAAAGCCCCACCTGGTTTATCCTTACCAGTGGCCAAGCACATTAACTTTCTCATACACTGACTGTTACTTTAACTGTTAGTCTTAACTAGTTGGGACATCAGCTGACTAATAGACATCAGCCTGCATTTAAAAAAAAAAGGCCCAGAAGAAAGAAAACAACGACGATAACAACAACAAAAGAATGAAATAAGCTATGGGTAAAATAATGCCAGTAATTCAGCTGCTATACCCAAGCACTGAAGTCTTACCCGTCGACCTTTTATTATTATTTTTTTTTTCAAATAAACTTTATGGCTGTTTGTTCTACAATGTTCTAGAAATTCTCACTCAGGTACACAGTGCCAACAAGTGGCTTGTGAATGTGTTTTGTTGTTTTGTGCTACAGTTTAAAGAGAAGTAAATTTTTTTTTTTTTTTTGTTATGCACCTTAAAAAAAAAAAAAAAAAGACAATTCCTTTTACCCCTCTGCCGCCTCCTCCTCCTCCTTTTCCCTTCTCCTTTGAATATTTAGGGTTGGAGGCACGCATGTGTGTGTATGGTGGGGAAGGGAGTTGGGAGTCTGTTTCTGTAAACCCCAACAAGCAATTATTTCCTTTCTAGAGAGGACTTCTCTTCATCAGTTGCACACCACACTGAGTCTTTGAGCAAGTGCCAAATTTATACTAAAGCGCTGAACTAGTTCAATTTTATTTTTCCGGTTGGTCGCTTTTGTTTCTTGTTCTGTCTTAAGTTAGGACAGTGTTATGTCTTAGACAATCCCTTGAAGAACCTAATATACCAGCAGCTGGTGAGATTAGACTTTGTTTTCTTTTCTTTTGTTTTTTTTAAAGGAAACTGTAGGTGCCGTTCTCAGGTGAAAGTGAGAGAGACATAAAAAAATTTAGAGAAAAATATTTTATGATCTTGGATTTTTGTGTGTGCGTGTTTATGGTACTAATAAGAATAATATTGGACCATTGTGAGCAAAAACCATATTCAGGATGAAATCCCACATCCTCCAAACAACTTGGTCTGTAAGGAGCCTTTGCTTTTAATTTACACTTCAAATGGCAACATAAAAAATGTCCAGAACAGACCCTTGTTTAGAACAGGGCAGGCAAACTGGAAGTACTAACCTCTAGAACGAGCCAAAATGGATGAATCTGGTGCTGATCCATAAGGCAGATCTTGGCTGAGACGCTGCTCTCTCTACCCACCTGGAACACCCACAGGCATCAGTGGGATGTTTGTGCAAGGAGAAAGAACAAAATAACAATGAAGCAATTCTCCCATCCACAGTGGGCAGCAAAATTTGACGTATAGCACACAAATCCTGAGCCTTTGAAGTTCCAAAAGGGTTGGAGACCAGGAAAATAAATAAATTCCCTCAAGCTCTAACAGATATTGGTAATGTTGTTCTGTGCCTCAGTCATCTCACCTGTAAATTCTGTCCTGTTTACACATGGGCATGCACATTTGAGACAATGGAGCTGCACACATATAACCCTGGGCAGAATTTAGCCCATTGTATTTTCAGCGATCTAACTGACAATTCTGCTTTGTTTCAAAGAAAGAAGTAAACATAGTGACACAAAGCATCTTTTGGTGCCTGACTCTGATCCTTCTCTAAAAAGAGTGTGCCCAGTTTCATGTGATAAGACAGCAGGCAGCAGCATTACCTAACCCTAACAGGAAAAGGATACCTCTGATTTCCAACAGCAGCTCTGTCCTAGGAAGCGCGGTCTCATGTTACAGAGAAAAGCTTTCCATTGAGGCACAGTTTGTGAATGTAGGGCGCCATCCTACAGATCCTTGCTCACATCACTAGTCCTTACTCACAGGAAGACGCTCAGTATCAGCATCACTGGAACTCCTCGTGTGAGTAAGGACTAGATGCATTAGCATTTGCAGGATCCAGGCCACAGTACTCACCAGTAGATTCAGGGCCCTGACCCTGAAGCCAGTTAAATTTTAGACCTGGAGCAGTCAGGCCTCACAGATCCAATTGCAGGATCATGGCCTTAGGCCTGGTCTACACTAGGACTTTAATTCGGATTTAGCTGCCTTAATCCGAATTAACCCTTCACCCGTCCACACTACAGAGCCAGTTAATTCGAATTAAAGGGCCCTTTAAATCGATTTCTGTACTCCACCTCGATGAACGGAGTAGAGCCTAAATCGATTTTGTTAATTCGAATTAGGGTTAGTGTGGACGCACACCACCGAATTACTGTGTTTAAGTTAATGGGGTAGTGTGGCCGCACACCACCGAATTAATGTGGTTTAAATCCGAATTAAGGTGCTTAGTGTGGCCGCACACAATCGAATTAATACAACCTGTTTCCCAAATTCAAATTATCTAAATTCGGATTAATCCTGTACTGTAGACATACCCTTACTTTGCCTGAAGACATACCACTTGAAGTGTAAAGCTCCTTCTGAAGACCTTGTGCAAAGCAAATGACAAACAAACAAATGCCATTTAAGAGTTAGGACAATACTCCAATGAATGGTTTGGATGTGTGATAGCTTCACCCCCATGCCATCTTTTTTTCTCCCTCCCTTTTCTTTAGTTTCCCTTTTTGATTTCCACCTCCGCATCAAAAATTCTTTTCAGTTTTTCTCGCTTTCAGAAGACTTGCTCTGGGGTTATGCTTGGAGTAGCTGATCACATCCTCCATGTCAGAGGGTTTCTTTGGTTTTGTTTGTATTTGATGACTGTATTTTTTTTTCATTTCAACTGCCTCTTCTTGCTAGTGTTGTAATGGTAATTATAATAATAATAATAATAATGGTCAGCTGTTCCCAGATTAGTAAATTATGTATAATTTATTTCCCTTTTTTCTACCTTATTTTATTCTGTTCTGATTTGGCAGTGCAGCAAATGAAGCTGTTAAGATATTTAAAATTGCTGCCCAACCCTGCTTTTTTATATAGACATATAAAAAACTCACTCTTCCCATGCTCACCCCATTCTTAGTTCTTCATTTTAATTTTGGCCCCCGTCATGACAACTTCTGATGTTTATTATGATGGAGTGAATTAATGGAAGTGTTGTTTTCAATCTTAATTAACTTCTGCTCTCTCATCACTCATTTTAGTTATTTAATTACACCAGTCATCTAGAGCCAATTTTTTTAAGCACTCTGTTTGGATAAGAAGAAAAAAATAGACAATTGTTTTTATATCATTATTATGTACAATGTGAAAACAGATATTTGCTTTTTTTTTTTTAATTTGTTCCCTGTCTTTGTGAACAAATTATTTCTGACTCTTGTGGATTCACCTCACATTTGCTGGTTGCTTAATTTCCACCATGTTATAGAGATGCTCTGGTTTAATTATGTGACTTCGGGCTACGAGAATACTTTGTTTTAGCTCCAGGTAGGTGCCACCAAGGCAGGCATGGTTGGAGCAAATCTTAAATATACATGGTAAAATTCTGGCCTCATTGAAGTCACTGGGAGTTTTGCCTTAGACGTCAGTGGGACTAGCATTTCACCCAAAAAAACTATGAGCTTGATACTCAAGGCCTCACTCATGGGAGTAGCCCTGTTTAAGCCAATGGGCCTAGGAGCACTTGTGGGTGAGTAAGGGCTGCAGGACTAAGCCCTCGTCTTCATAATGGGTGATGTGACCGAATTCCTTTTGGGGGAGGGGTGCGAGAGGGGGCTGTGCTTTACATTCTGTGTTGTCTTTGCCTGAGACTCAGAACGAATGCTAAAAAAGAAAAAAAAATGCTGACTTTATTGCAAACCAACCTATACCTGAGAGACTATGGTAGGACCTGGGGCTTGAGTCAAACCTGGGTAGCTTGTTAAAGACCCTGCATTTCGATGCTGAAACTGATCCAGCCCAACAAAGCACTTTAGCATGTGCTTAAGTACTTTGCTGGATCAGAGCGCCCATATGTCCTATAGTATTAAAACACCCATGTTTGAAATAGAGGCCCTATTTTATTGATTTAAAAAAACGACAACAGGTATCTATAAAAGAAGTTCTTGTCTTGTTTCTTTCTTTTCCTGGGTTTTGTGTCCTTATGACACTGAGAAAAACCAGGTTAGAAGAGATTAGGATAGTATTAACCTAAAAGAGCACAAAAAGCCTAGCATATATGTGGGCCTAGCTCGCCTCTTTCCTGGGAATCTATATAGTGATGATCTTCTTGTTAGAATTTTTGTGTTGGTCGCACGTTTCGTTTCCTCTGAAATCAGGGCAGCTTCTTACTCCAATGTGACTCAAACTTCTCAGAGAGTAATACCAGCAGTGGGGAAAAGAGGGTCAAAAGAAAAAAAATTGAGGGACTGACTGGTAAGCTCAATGAAATAACACATAATTCTTTCTGAATTTATTCATGCCTTATATTAGTAAAATAGGATTTTTAAGTGCATTTAACATCTTTATTTAACCGTTCCGCTATATTAATCAGGCCCCCAGAAAAGAACACTAGCTACTATTATAGAATTTAATTAGTTTTGTAACCAAATCCTCTTATTACAAATGCATATGGAAGAAATTCTTTCTGCATAGACATTATTTCAAAGATTTGGTTTCTGCAGTAGACTCTTTCTTTAATTAAATCATTTTTTTTAGAAAGTAAATTGTCTTTAACCTTTTTACAGCACATTTTCAAAGCTTTTTCTTTTTTAATCCAAAGAGATGAGCTGCTGTTGTCGCTGAAGAAGACTCTGACATTACGTTTGTAACATCAAAAATAATTACACACAGTGGAAACTTAGACCTCACTTAGCAAGAATTCAGCCGCTAAAATTAATCGCAACTGCATAATATATCATACGTTTAAGGACATGGTTTATCAAATATGAAATATTTTGTCTGCCCACTTCTTGATAGAATCTTCCATTTTGCAAGGAAATGTATGTACCATAATTCATTAGATGTGGATCCAAGTGTATCCTCAACTCACAGGGCATGGGATGGATGTTTAGCTTGGTTTATATTTACATTTTCTTCAACTTTATCTTAACTTGTCAGTTTCCCAGATTGAAGAACATGTCAAGTTTGTTTTTTCTACTGACTGATTTCTCTACTCCCCAGTGTTTTTTGTCACTGGTTTGCTGAAACAGTATTTATATAGCTCCATTGGCTCTAAAGCTCTTCTTACTCCTTCTAACATTTTGGATTTTACAAGTGAAAAGAAAAATAGAAAAGAAAATAGAGACAATCAAATGCCTGGAGCTTAAAACAAAGTATGTGCAACCTACCATCTCACTTGAAATTTAATAAAATAAATAATTATGTAAATATAACATAGAGTTATAGATTTATATTTTGTTCATAACACATAGTGTAATATAAGTTGTATATTTTCATGTTTTGGTTTTATGTTATCATTCATGCCACAATAAATAAAAAAATCAGGAGTTGATGTACTCTTTAAAAAAATAAGATGTGGGTTGCCACCATGCTGGGTTTTTTTGCA